CCTTTTATGTCTTTTATTTGTTGGGCTTCTGTGAACAACAGGTTGTATTCCTTTAAGAAGGAAAGTTTGAAAAGCACTGAAGTCATCCAATCATCTCACTTTATTAACAGTGAAACCAAGGCCCAGAGTGATGAAGGGACTCCAAGGCAGCCTGGGAGGGCTGCTCAGAGGAGGTGACATGTGCAGGGAGCCTTGAAGGGTAAGCAGAACTTCTCCCACATTGACAGGCAACAAGAGGAGGAAGGAACCGCTACGTGGCCCCATGCCTGTCCCGCCTGCTGGCCTCTGCTCAGGGTCCTGCCCTGCTTCCCCTGTGCCTCTCTTTGACAACCAGCTCATGCCACCTCCTCCATAAAGACCCTCCACTCAGAATGAATAGCCCTGGCACTGTTGCCCTTACAACAGAAGATTTGTGGGGCAATTTAGCTCTTTGATCATTCTGCCCAGCCCTGTGGCCAAGGCTGGTGGTGCCAATGCCATCCATCCCAAGGCCACCAGGAACATGCCTGCATTTAAACAAAGGTGGGTGTATTACCAGTGGCAATGAAGGAGGATGCACGCCATGGGGAATTCAGGGAGAGGGTGCTAGAAATGAGTTACCGGATTGGGGCGTGTGTGAGGTGCTTTCATAGAGGATTCAAGGGAGCAGAGCTTTGCTCTGGAGCAAATGCTATCAGGAAGCAAGGNCAAGTTATGGAAATGAGAGTGTGGAGAACTGCCTGTGTTTATTATCCCCCTATTACCACTGGAGAAACAGGCTCGTGCATATGAGCTCACTCAGGGTCACCAAGCTCGGGAGGGGCTGGCTGAGCAGAGATTTGAAAGCAGCCTGTCTGACGGGGGCTCCTCCCATTCCACTCCCCAGGAAGAGGAATGGCCAGGACGTGGTGACTGATGCCACTGACAGCCCAGGTGGAAGGGCTGGCACAGGCGGGGCTACAGGCCAGGGACTCAGGCCAGCCTGAGCCTCCCGAGCAGGCGGCCAAGGGAAGGCAATCCCTCTCCTGCTTGGCTCGGCTGTCCCTCTCACCACCGGAGCCCTGATTGAGTGCGGCACTTTCAGAGCAGTGAAGGATGAAAATGGGAAAGGAGGAGAAGGAGCAGACAGGAGGGAGGGAGCGCCTCACCAGAGGGAAGACAGCACCCTATTTAGGCCAGACGGAGGGCAGCGCTGCCCTGCTATCTCTGCACTACCTTTTAGCGCTTTAATCAAATGCCTTACGAATGGCTTCGCCTGGGTGTCAAAAATCCAATTGGATACATTTATTGGCCTGACAACCAATTTTCTGCGATGTATCATCAGGGACTGATGGTCCACTCTCAGCAGCAGGGGAGTTGGCAATAATGGAGCTTGGAGAGCCATCGTGTACCCTCAATATTGTTTCAAGCTGTCATGGGGGAAGGAACAAAGCCTGAGCCCCTGGAAACAGACAGACTGACAGACAGACAGAAGGACAGAGTGTGTCTCAAGACTCAGATCCCTGCACAGTGGGGCAAACGCTGAACCGAGTGGAGAGATCCGGGAAGCCATTCACTGCCTTCATGGCCTGGACACTGCCCCTTCCTAACCTGGCTCTCCTCGGGGTCTTCACCAGCCATGTCATGAGAATGGGAGAGCAAGAACCTGGCAGGGCTGATGTGAAGAGCACATGGACTCAGACAGCAGCCACTCAGCACCCTCCACATGCAGGGCATGGAGCTAGACAGCCAATTAGGACGTGACTCTAGTCCTGGCAGAGCTGCCGGAGGAGGAGGGGAGACCAAATTAAAGCGTTGGAGGGAACCACAGACACTCTCCCCTCTCATGCCTTTCCAGATGGTGCTGAGGAGCCCTAGGAGTCTCCAGTAGCCCCCACCCCAAGAGTTGCTAAAAAGCTGAGGACTAAGCCCCCAGCCTCAACTTTAATCACACAGCTCCACTTGTGCCTTTTATGTCTTTTATTTGTTGGGCTTCTGTGAACAACAGGTTGTATTCCTTTAAGAAGG